GTAGTAGTAGAGAGAGAGAGAGAGAGAGAGAGAGTCTGTATATATACATATGCTCGGTATATATAAGGTTGCACCCTTACTTGTAGAAGTAATGTTGCAGTGTTTTAAGATGTCTATTTTAGTTGGGTGGTGTAGATTTGACATGTCTTTTAAGATAATTTCAATATTTTAGTTGTCTTAAAAGACGTGCAAAATTTATATCATCTAACTGAAATGGGTAACATCATAAATTACTGCAGCCTTTACTTCTACAAGTAATACACACACATATATTTGTTGGTTTTGTTAGGTTTCTCAAGTATGGTGTAGTCTTTAGACCTACTCAACACTTTTGGATACTTCATGCCCCTACTCTTCAATATAGGCAACTTTTGTCTATGGGTATTTAAGGTAGTTTATCAGTGCTAATGTAAAACATTTTGTAATTGCAAAAACTTCTTTAACTATTGAATGGGATCACATCACCCACTTGAGATATTGCGAAATCATCTACATAGGGTGTGATATCACTCACATGGAGCGTTGATTATCCTTTCAACTAAGAAAATGCTATTGTCCTTTTTGGAAAATATTATTTTATTTTCAGTAGTAACATAAAACATCATTACCAAAGTAGTTATTGTATTAAAAGGCGGGTATTAAGTGTTTGGTGAATGTTGAGCATGTTAATGGAATACTTTGAAGGGGAGTAGCCTAATGACAGCTATACATATATGACCAATTGAAACATTAAATAGGGGCTTGTGAAAAGGGCTTGTGAAAAGGAAGGGTGAACTCAAAATATAAAACATGGCCATGCTTATGGAGACCAGTGAGACTACCTTGCAAGATGAATCTTGTTTTTCATGTAGTGCTATAACGTCATCTGGCCTAGCTGTTCCAGTTCATGTCCCCTTCCTTACGGCATGCTCCACTCCCTAGAATTTGTTAGGTTAGTTTGGCCTACTACTTTTGTTGTGTATTCCATTAACTTTCTAAACATTCATTAGATATCTAATAACCTTTTAATACAAAAACTTTTTGAGTAAAGACATTTCCATTAGTGAGGGCTAGAATAGATATTTTTGAAAAAGAATAATGATAGTTTGCTAGTTAAAAAGTAATTGACGCTCCATATCAATGATCGCAATCTAATTCCTTTGTGGATGATGTCTCATCTCATATTGGTGACGATGATGTCATTTTCAATGATACTTAGAAAGAGTGTGCTTGTTTTGTGGAAGCTGCCACCTCCAGAAGCCGCGGCTTCCCCAATTGTACACTTCTCATGTTTGTTACACGAGAAGTGCGATGCTGTTTTGGGAGCCGCTGCTTCCAACGATTTCAAAAACAATGTTAAATGATATTGATTTGGGGAAGCCGTGGCTTCCATTCTACCCCCTAGAAGCCACAAGTTTTGGAGTTGGTGGAAAAGGCTACTTGGCTAGTTGCAGTTTTTGGTGTTGGTGGAAGAGGCTGTCGTGGTGGAAGAGGCAGGCTTCCAAAGTAACCTCTTCCACTACCTCTTGAAGCCCCAACTTTCATGGGGTAGCATGGAAGCCGCGACTTCCCCAAATCAGTGACATTTAATGTTGGTTTGGCAGATGCTGGAAGCAGTGACTTCCAAAACGGTGTCACACTTCCTGCATAACAAACGCGGAAAGTGCTACAGTTGTGGAAATTGGGGCTTCTGGAAGCTGCGGCTTTCATAAAGCAAACACGCTCTTAGTGCATTGGTCTTTACTAAAAATTGTTACTTTATCTATGTTTAATTAACTTAAAATACCTCTAGAGGAAAAGTTACTTATATTGTATTGTAAGCATTCGTGTTCAAAAATATTGAATAGGTTTTGCGAATACACTATAGTGAAAGTAGCTTAACAAAATCCTATTTAGAATTTTTCTTTTCTTGCTTCATTACACTTGGAGTGAAATTACCTTCTTGTGATCTGTCCTTGTCATCCCCTTCCCCTTGTTGAACTCCACCATACCTCCTTAGATTGATTGACTATCCCTTTCCCATTCATGAAGAATCAAGATGGAGAGTTATGCTCAACCAGCAGCCTCCAATTTCCATGAGTAATCTGTATTTTTCTTGATGGTGTCCATCAATAAGAGTTGTGATTGTGGACGAGGTAGAGGGGGATCTGCAACGTTTACATGAAAAAGGGCATACCATATACAGATGTTTCATGTTGCAAGAAGTTGAAACAGAGGAAAGAAATAGTTACTTGGGTGAGTAATGGGGAGAACATGATGTATTTGATGCTTCACTAACCATTTTTGTATGACCCTACCTCTATGCTATAAATCAAAATTTTTATCTCCCAATGGAGTTGTAAGAAGCAGGGAGTGGTTGTAAGACCTTCGTATGGAGAGGAAGCAAAGTAATCTTAGGCAATCAATCTTTTTTTTTGTTGGACATTTTGCTTACACCTCTTGACAAAGGCATATTTCTAGAATTTCGATTTTTCTCATCCTTGTTATGACTATGATATATCAAATCATTTAATGTACATATTCTTCCATACAAGT